GATAGATTTGTTCAACCCTACTTCACACACTAAGGAAACTGCAGGAAGGTAATTCTGCTCAAGATCTGCTCTGACCCTGGCTTTATAAATAAAACTATGGACCTGACCAACTCTCAAAGAATCACACCATTGTAGAGCTGGTAGGTACTCAAAGGGATATCTAGCTCAAGCCCCTGGTAATGCAGAACTACTGCATCCCTGACAGATGGCTGTCCAACATCTCTCTAAACAGATAGTCCAGTATCTTCTGAGATAGTCCATTCCACTGCCAAACAGCTCTTACTGCCATGAAGTTCTTCCTAATGTTTAATCCAAAGTTCCTTTCTTGCGTCTTGACCCTATAGTTTTGAGTACTACTTTCTGGTGTAATGGAATTTACAATTTATGCACTTTTGATCAAAGTCCATCGTACTGTAGTTGGGGAAGGAAGCAGTTGGAGAACGTTGCCTTTTTGGATAAAGTGAATTCCTTGTTGTACTGCCTAACAACAACTTGTCCAATGGATCTTCCAGTATACTTCCTGTTGCTTTCATTCATTTTACAAGGTGAACACAGCTTGTATTAAAATATAGCAGTTAGTCTTTAAAGTGTCACAATGTTTTCTTTTCTTTGTGTTTCTTGCTGAAATGCCTGCACAGAATAGTACAGCTACAACTATGAAGACAATAAAATGCATCCTGGACTAAATCCCAGATGAGAGCTTCATTTCTGGAGTATATTGCGAGCACTCTATCATCAAGGATCCCAAACCAAAACATTCTGCAGTGTTCTTAACAGGAATGGAAGACATCTGCAACTTTAAACCAAATAGCTAATCATTTGAGCTGCTGCCCACCATCCACATACAGGCAATGCCCAAAGAAGGCAATGGAGCCCTGCCTTGGGCCTGATTGCATTGGAGGTGTCTGGCTGTGCAGAGCCAGAAAATAACTGTAAGACTGCCAATGTAAACAGCAAGGAAGACGAATACTTAATGTAAACCGAACAGATTTACATCTCCCTGTCACATTGATTATTTGATGCTCCCACCAAGCTCCTAAGCAACTGCCTCACGAATGAGAACAAATACAAACCACAAAAGGCTCTCATTTTGCAAAACTGCAGCTGTCAGAGAACCCACAATACAGAGCTCCTCCGCTCTTCCAGCCTTCTTGAAAATTTCTGATGAGCCCAGAGCTGGAAGCGTCACTCTCAATATTACTACAAAAACAGTTAAACCCCAACTGTTTTAACACTGGAAGCAGCTCTGTACAGGGAAGTGTCCTGCATTGAACTGATGCTTTATTCACCCAGTAGGATAATCCAGTATTTGCAACATTTGCCTCTGCCAGATAGCATAGCCTAGCCTAGCCTACAGTAATGACTTGCCAGATTTGGACAGTACAGCATCAACAGCTATTCAAAATTACATGGGAATGATATCATTGTAGATAGAGTTGGGGAACTTGTGGCTTTTCTCGCCTATCGGACTCCAGCTCCCCTCAGCTCCACCTAACATAAGCAATGAATGGTATTATGGGACTTAATATTCTAACAGCATTTGAAGTCCTTGGGTTCACCACTAGTAGTGCAGAAGTACTGCAGTTATGATTTGATGCTGTTCCACCTACCTATAGGTTATAGACCTCCCTTGCAGCCAACAGCTAGCATGGACATTTTAGTTCAATTTCAGGCTTAAATGGTGTACATCATTTACATGTACATTATATACATATCAGAGTGAGAGAGACAGAGAGGAGGAAACAGAAACATGTATTTGGAAGTCTAGGAACTCCAGCAAAAATGGCCATAATTATAGTGAAATACAATACAGCAAAGGTAAATTTAAATGATTATTTCTGGTGGAAATAATCATGAGATGCTATCTGCTTCTGATGATGCTTTCTGCCAAATGTCTACCAGCTGACATTTTGTTGAACAACATTCTATAAAATACACTATCACTGTTTTCCAGGATGCAATTAAAGAGGAGTCTCGCCACATGTCTTGCCACTGTCACAAAAATGAGGCAATTATGAAATTACAGTTTCTTAGTACCTTGTCTGAACATATTACTAACATTTTGGAACTAATATTCCCAACTTGGAAGAAAAAACTGCTTCTTCACCTACTGACAGCCATATGTCAGGTATACTTCAATCTGTATTCCTGCATTGAGCAAGGAGTTGGATTCGATGTCCTTATAGGACCCTTCGAACTCCATTATTCTATGACTCTCTGAATCCTTTACAAAGCAAGTCAGTTACTCTGCAAATGGAAATTATATTAAAATTATCTGGCTCACACATTTTCCATTTGGTTAATGGGAATACTTCCAAAGGGGGCAAAAATCCTGCAAAAGTTCTCTACATCTTATTCCCTTCCCCCTTCAGAGAAATAATATTGTTAGCAAATTGGCAGTCTTTCTCAACTGTGGTGTCACTCCTTCCCTAATTTGTCAGATACTCCACTCACTGTTTTTAATGGAACCTGGTTTTATTGCTGACTTTTACTGCTGTTGTTGCAAAAGAAATTAGTTTTATTATTGATCACTTTTATTTGGTTTTAAACATTTATTGCTTTGTTCAGCTTATTGTTTTAATATGTTCTCAGCTACCTCAAGTACAGTAATTTTGATTCAGAGGCTTGACAAAAAGCAACTACTAGCAGCTTCGACAATGCAACAAGAATGATGTCATCATCATCAGCAGATTACTACTGATTAAAGGCTTTCTTTTGTGATCTTGAATATACTATGCAACACAGTCATGTGCACCCTGAAATCTGCAGCAATCTGCCATTGCTGATTACATCATTCCTGTGGCACAAGAAGGGCTGTGCAACAGAAGTTCAGCCACAGACTCTAAAAAGTAATCCAAAAGGGTTTTTATTGCCTTACACTTGGCAATATAAGCACGTTTTGCACCAGTTTTCAATTTAGATACCATACTCATTTAGACTGTGAGAACTTGCTAATAAATGTGGCTCTTGCAGGGTATAAAGGAGAGTCTTCTGCTGCAGTAAGTCCATAGGAAGTTATTCAGATTGTGAATTTGGATTTTAAGGTTACACCTTTTGAATTTTGTTTTACTGCTGTGCTTCAGACTGGACTGGAAATGCTATTATTATTGATAAAAACTCCTTAATATCACAGACAGCATGGGTGGGTAGAGTCCTGCATATCTGGAAGGTGTTAAGGTGTACCTGCTGCTAAGTCCCATGAAATGTAAGGGAGCGTTATTAAAGTAACTGTGATTCTATTAACCATGTATTTCTTTGTATTATCATGCAGGAAAGAAGGAAAAGCAAACATTAATTTTTTTAAAAAAAGACCTATCATAGAGCTCTTGTGAAATGCAAGACAAAGAATGGGAACTCTTTCAGTATCTCAGTGTTACTGTTAATTAATATAGTCCCTCTCAAATTCCTAAATCTGTTGGAACTTGATTATGGCTTTTCTGCTATAAGCTTTATGGTCACTGCTGTAAGCTTTATGGTATTTAGTTAGACACAAAACCTACAGTGCCTCTAGATTCTGACAACTCAGTTATTATTTCCTAACTATGAGCCAAAATGGTTTTAGAGAGATAAAGCAAAGTGACCAATGTTTCCAGATCTGATGGTCCTTACATACTTGAAAGATGGGATACTGGGTCATGTTTTTACTCTGTAAAAGGCACTCCAAACTATCTTGACAGCCTTTAGAAGAAATAAGATATGTTCTGGGATACCAAGAGCCATCCTTCACAAAAGTCCAGCTTTTCCTATATTCTCCCCCCCCCCGCCATATAAGAGTTCACTCACTTAGATAACAGTTCGTGTGGGCTAGTAGGAAAACTATCTTGCACTTTTCTTCTTTTTCTATTTGTGCTTTCCTTCCTTCATGGGTCATGAGATCCCCACATCAAAGGGAAAATTCTGAGAAGTAGAACCAAAAAACCTCTTTGCTTAGCCCATGTTTGAACACCACCATGCCTTCTGGATGCTGCCCAGGTAGAACTTTACACAATCAAGTCAACTACATTGTGTACAAATATCTGAAGGGATTCTCTTACTTTGGTAACACATTTGACAAATGTCCTAATAAGCACAGAGAATATCACATTAGTAATTTCTCTTGCCCCCTCTTCAAGGAGCTACTCCTCTTATCTTAACTTTTAGAGCACAATTTGAACTTATTTGTAAAAAAGGGGCAGGGGGAAAAAATAACAAACAGCTTTTAAAATAAATCCTGACCCTAGTCCACAAGTAGAATGGTGCTGTGATGTTACAGGGATCGGTCAATCAGTATCTAGCACAGCTGGCTTCTGCTAAAGTGAGGTAGGTGGGAGAAAAGACAAGTTTCCTCTGAGGATATTGTAAGAGAAAGCTATACATATATATGAAATATTCTGAGTGCCCATCGTTTTTTAATTCATGGATGGGAAACAGAATTTTCTTCAATAAGTGGAACATTTTCAGTTAAAAAAAACTACTGTTATGGGAAAGAATTATTTTAAAAAATCCAAAGATGACAGAATGCCATGTAAAATGTTCCATCCTAGTCTCTATCCCTCAGGTTTGGTTTTGTTTTGTTTTGTTTTTAAGAGTTGAAACCCCATGGAAACCTCTACAGTTGATGTTATAAATTTGGGGCAGGGCGGAGGGCAAACTTAGAGAAACTGCTGATTTGCATGATTTACAGCCATAGACCTGGTGTTTTCTGGCTGCCAGTAAGGGCCTGTTAGCAGAGAACCTTTGAAGACACCACCCTGCTTCTACCATGCTATTCTTCGCATTATACTGATAGGCATTTTCTGACCCAAGAGTGCCAATGCTCCCAAACCTTTCCTCTTTCTATTGGAGCATAACGATGGAGGCTATAATCAGGCATGCTTAGATGAAAGGGATATCAAAGAACCTTGCAGAAAATGTTGTGGAATTGTATAAGACTACATTATTCATGCATCGAGTGTCTTGCTCTGAGAGAGATATGGAAGGGGGGGACCTTTGCACAACTAGCATGTACAGAAAGAACTTACCCATATAAAAGTATTCTGGGGACTTTTCATCAGTTGCTAAATCTCTTATTATGTTTCCAAACCGCAGCCATAGCCCAAATGCGACAACAGCTGAACCCGCCAACTGGAAAAGGAAAAGAAAATCCAGAAGGTTAACAGCTAGGAAAAGGGCTCATAATCTTCAAACAAACAATTCCTTGTTCTTTCTGGAAATTTTTAGGGCAGATGAGGCTGAGGCCCCACCCACAACATAAATGTTGCTGTTGGCATTAACACACTTCTTGTCTGCATCCAAAACTATTAATACTGATCTGCTAACATGGATATGTACAAATGTTTTGATTGGTAAGCTAGTTACAGAAACATAGTACATGTTAGATGGACAGTGTCTAGCGACTGGATCTTGTGACTCAGTGGACCAGTTGCAAAGTTACAGCAAAAACCAGCTCTGTGCATTGCTGGATGTCTGAACATTTATTAGTAACCCACAGTTTCCTTGCTCCTAAAGAATTTTTTCTCAATATTATAGAAATAGATTGTTTGTACATATTTGGGAGCAATAAATTGAATACAGTGAGTTAATGTATGTATAGCACATACAACCCAATTGAAGCATGAGGCAGGGGAGGCAAAACACATAGAATCAGTATTCAATTTCCTGGCCTATATGTCCGCTCAGTGCATTCAAAAGATGGGAGAAACCTAGGGTTGCTCTGTGCGGACAAAGAAGTTATAATCTCCAAATATGTTGCCATACACCTCAAAGCTGTAAGTCCACATACAGTAAAATATGCTGAAAGTTCCTCTAAAAGAATTCAAATTTGATTATTGATAAGCTGGTATTTCTCTGGCATTGGAATATTACACAGTGACTGGAATCCTGTTGCTTAGCATAAGAAAATTCATAACTTTCAGTCTGGTTCTAACCAGCAAATAAAAATTCCTTGCCACGATTCTCAAGGGGTGCACACACATGTGCCAACACAGTGTGAGCATGCCCACCCCCTGAAAACTGCAGTGGGAACTCTTTGTTTGTCAGCTAGGAACAGACTGAAATCGCCATATGCTAAGCAAGAAGATTTCGGCCAATATTGGATAAAAATGCTTTCTGCAACAGTCTCTCTGTGTGGTGCTCAAGAGCTCATTACCAAATGTTTAAATCGGCCCATTGATTATAAATATCATATTCTTTTTGCTTTCAAGAAAGCCTCTTCTTTCTTGGACAAGAAATCAAAATATACAGAGGAAAATTAATAAACACTTAAGAGCTTGAGTCCATCAACTAGCACAATGGACTTCTAGACTAAAATTAATTTCAGCTTCAGATGAGAAAAATGATAGTTTGTTACCCTAAATATGTGTGTCTGAGTGTGTGTTACATAGATGGAAGCTTATTTAAGATATTTTTACCCTGCTTTTTTCCTTAAAAGGACCCAAAGTGGCTTATATCATTAAAAAAGGATATTAAAGCTAACAACAGAGAGTATGCAAATACTAAAAAGCATTTAAAAAAACCATACAAAAAATAAGCAACACCAAAAATTCTTTTTTTTCCTGTTAACTTATGGGATTTATAACCTGCCTTCCTCCGAAAGTATGACACTCAAGTCAGCTAACAGTAAAATAAAACTAATATAAAACAGCTAGTTAAAATGCCATTAAAAACACACCCTGCAAGAAGCTCTTTGCAACCAGCCAAATTAATTGCCAAAGGTGTGTCTGAATGAACAGATCTTTGACAAATGGGGGAATTAACATGGCTCTGCAATAGCGCTCATGCAGAAAGTCTCAGGATCCATAGTGAGTATCTCTAATTAAAGGACATGAAAGGATCCTGCCTGAAGGTCTGGATAGCTCTGCCAATGTGAACTCCACTGGGCCAAATGGATGAGCTGTCTGACTTGGCATAAGGCAAGTTACTACAATAACAGGGAGAGGTCACCATAGTATCCCTTGATTAGAGTTTTCCACAGCCACAGAATGGCTACCAAGAAAGCCTCTATTTGCATCCTCACCAAACCTGAAAGAAAAACCTAATAAAACATGTTCCTTTGTGAAAGAGGAATAATTACATTGCTAGAGCAGTGTTTCTCAATTGGCTCTTTCAGCTCTCAGAAATCCCAGTCAAGATTGCCCATGCTCAAGGATTATAGGCATTTAAGTCCAAAATATTAGGACGGCCAAAAGTTGAGATCTGCTTCTCTAAGGAAGCCCAGGCACTCTGACAATTACAAAGATACAGAAAGCTTGTCTTGCCCAGTCAAGCTGAATGGAAGAGGTAGAGAGAAGGCCAGCCAGTTTTCTCTCATGGCACAGAATGACTGAACAAGAGACAATAGCCAGTTCTTGCAAGGCCATACAGCACAGCTTTGTGCAGCTGCAGCTGAGAGACACCAACCTCACACCACTCATTTGCAAGGCAAGAAGGGGCAGGTTTTTGTGGGTTCTACTTTGCTTTGCACTAGAACAGGAATTCTCATATAAATAATTATTTTATTTAGAATTACAGATTAGGGAAGGTAATGAGGGGAATTTCTGCCTCACATCCCATAATAACTGGACTGAAGTAGGTGATCATGTTGTTTGAATGGGATGTGTGGGTCATAATTTGCAGCTTCAGGTCAGTTAGCAAACCTGTCATTTTTTAATTATAAAAAGCACACTTTCCAGATAGCAGTTATTCTTGCCTCAATCACGGCTTCTTAGAGACAGAGAAAATGGAGTCTTCCCCACTCCCAGTTCTCCACAGAAGCTGTTATCCAACAGGACACAGTATTAACTGGGCTACACTTGACTGAACAGGGCCATTAGGCAGGGTGAGGTGGATTCCTCAGGTAGGACATTTAGAGTGTCATGAAAGGGCAGCAAATAGATAGAGGAAAAGGCAATTTGAAGGGTTTTCTCCCTTATTTACCAAAATGGCTAGCTTTACATATGATATATGTTGACTTTAATGGGTGCAGGCACCATTTGCTGCCCAGTCTCAGGTAGCAAAAATTGGCCTTTTTTCTGAATCAGACAACCAAACAGAGAGGTTTCTCTTCTCTGCTGCCTCAGGCTAAGACCTGCTACTTGGCAAGAGAGGCTACCAAGTTCCTTGACAAACCCTAAAAATCCAAGTCTTCCATTGTGTTTATTTTTAGAATGACTTAGTGGCCAGATACCCCAATATACAACTTTGTTACAGGCAACAATTGGACTGGAAAGAATTATTTCAGCTTTCTAATACTTCTTGCACTTCACTGGACTTCTTTCAAACTCTACCCTGAGATAGTATTGTATTGTAATAGACTAGAGCATCTCAAATGTGTGAGACAGTGTGGCTAATACTATTTGGTTTCCAAGCCAAATCTGAGGGAACCTCTCCCACAGAAACCTGCAAACAAGACACAATGTGTATGCTGCTTACAAAATCTGCCTTATCCATGTAATTCAGAGGGTTTTCAGACTTGACAGGGGAAGGAGTGGCTTATTCGGTTGTACTTATCTTAACTACCTCAGAAACAAAGCCCCCCCCCCCAAAGCCTACCAGGGCAAACACAGTCACTAAGTAGAGCTGGCTATGAAAACTCATCACCAAAACAGAGTTCCATCAGTCATAAATTGTTCCTCCTTTCCACTTCAGCCTTTGCTTGCAAAAGGGCTCAGGATCTTGTAGAGTGGGCTCTCAGCTCGGCGATCCAAGCTAACCGCATTAAATGGGGTCTATTCCCCAACTCAGCAGAAAGCAAAAAAAGGGCACCCCCCTCTTTCTTGTTATAATACATTGAGATATGTCAAGGATGGTCCTCATCTTTGATTTCCTTGTCTGCTATAAAGAAACAATAACACAGTACTAGTTTTCAGGGGGTATTAGCCTGTTGCAACAAAAAACAGCAGAGTCCTATAACACTTTAAAGATTATATTAATTAGTCCTTAAGCTGTTACAGATGAAATATGTGGTGGACTGACTCCATAAGCGAAGTCACAGCCTTGAGTTGACAAGAGCAGAGCAGGGCTGTTGAGGACAGGGACATTTTGGAGAGTGCTCATTCATAGGGGTTGCTGCAAGTTGGAGAGGTCTCAACAACACATAGCATTCAGCAGCAGCAGCAACAACAAGGTGTTACAGAAATCTTCATTGGTTTTGGCCTAGTTTTGTTTCTGTTTCAGGGAGATACTTGAGATAACAGTTTACTTTGGGTAAAAGATTAGAAATCTGTTTGTGCGCATACACAGAGAGACACACTGGGTTTCTTCTGCTATTTAGACAGTAAACATCGAAGGGCGGGGTGGACAGGGAGCAGATCCATCTTCTTGGCTGCACTGTGCCTCCACACAGATACAAGAAGCCAGGACACTGTTTCACTTCTACATATTTATACTTATTTACACAGACATACACGCATGTAACTGCCTAGCCAGTTAAAAAGTATGGCACTTCAGTACAGTGAAAGCTCTTGAGAGACTGAGGTTTTTCTTAAGTGTTCTTCAGCCTGAATCAAAAAAGATGAAACAATTGTGGTCAGTTTAGCAACACATCCTACTCCCACTGCAGCTTTTGCAGAGCAAATGTGCCAGAGAGGAATATATGCATATACTGCATCTTTCCTACTGCAATGGTATTTACTATTAGAATACAGTCTTACAAAGGGATATTTTTATCAAACATCTGTGAAACACTGAAATGGGTTAAATGAATGGACTATGACATAACAATAGAGTTGTTATATCAAAAGATGGCAACTTGTGACTCTCCAGATGCTGTTGTATTGCAGCTCTCTTCCTCATTGGCTACTCTGGGTAGGGATGATGGAAGGTGCAGTCCAATAGCATCTGGAGATTCACAGTGTGGTCGAAGAATTACAGTCATCTAGGCCAGAGGTCCCAACCCCTGGTCCGCAGCCCGTGCCTGTCTGTGGCCTGAGCTGGACTGGACTGCCAAGACAGACCTCCCACCCCACCCCTCACACGCATTCACCCCCGACAGCCCATTTGCGCCTGCGCGCATGCTCCAGCATGCCCATGCAAGTGCCACATCGCCATTTGTGCATGTGCACGAGCGAATGCGTACCTAGACAAGTGCCACACTGTGCATGCGCATGAGTGTGTGCCCATGCGAGCACCGTGCTACTGTTTGCACA